TAAGTACATTAAGCCTTTCGATCGGTCCTATTCTGACAATCCCGGCCCTATGGTTGTGTTCGCCACTCCCGGTATGCCATTCATTGTATCACGTCTTTGGTCATTAGTTCTAACAGTTTGTCTGTGTCTTGGGCTCAGGTATGCTTCACGCGGGTCTGTCTCTACACCTGTTCAAGAAGTGGGCGCCCAATGAGAACAATATGGTGATTATGCCGGGATTTTGTGTGCAAGGTACTGTTGGACATAAGATCTTAAACGGCGCCAAGAAAGTTGAATTTGAAAACAAACAGTCGATTGATGTGAAAATGTCGGTGCAGTACATGTCGTTCAGCGCTCACGCGGACGCTAAAGGTATGGCAGCTTTGGTCAGACCATGAATTGGTGTTAAATCACATAAATTGATGTATTTGTTAGGAATCATGACTTTAATACAACAGTCGGAGCCCAAGAACGTACTGCTAGTACACGGCGAGGCCGCGAAGATGGAGTTCCTGCACAAGAAAATCAAACAGGAGTTTGAGATCGAGTGCTATATGCCGGCCAATGGGGAGACCGTTACGATCGGCACGAAAGTCAGTATTCCGGTCGACGTTGAGATCGATCTGTTGAAGCGATCGTTGAATTCGTCGAGCGATAGCTCTGACCCGAAGCGTCCGAAACTACTTCACGGCACTCTTATGATGACTAACACAGGAACGGGACCTCAGTTCAGATTAGTCGACCCCAACAAAGCCATGCAAGAGCTCGGGATCAAACCACATGTCATCCAATTCACGTCAACTGTCAAACTCAAGGCATCCAATAGTACGCCACAAAAAATCACTGAATTTGTATTTCAGAAGTTGAAAAAGTATTGAAACATGTTTTTGATTGTAATGAAAATTAGGATATAATTTAATATTAAGGTAATTATTTTCAACAGTAAACTCTCGGATCAACACGACATCAAACTTGCGAGTGACTGCTCTATCATAGCGTCCACAGCAATGATTAGAGTGAATAAAGGGTCGGACAATGATCTGAAGGAAGTGTATATTTCGTGGTC